AGAGAGAGAGAAAGAGAGAGAGAGAGCGTGGGAGAAGGGGTGGGGAAGAAAAGAACGGGGGAAATGGACGGATAAAAAGTATTGGCGGAGGAAGGAAAAAGGGGCCAAGAACCGCTTAACAAACTGCTGAACTCACACCCCGCGGGATTTTATTTCTACTTAAATGGAGTTGCCGAGATACGCATTGGATACGGATTCTTACCGAATCCTCTGGCTGGCTCTCCGGTTTATTTGTACCCGTTTGTTAACCCCTTCTATCTTCACTTTCGTTTCCCGTCCCTTCGAGACTTTTGCGCGAAATTCGCCCGCAGCGGCTGATGGGACCCGGATTGTTTACGGTTATTGTTTGCAACGCCGCGCGAGATTATTGTCCCATATCGTGACCGCGAGTCTCTTATCGAACTTTAAATACAACATGGTAACCGAATTTCGTGGGGAAAAGCGTGGCTGTGTTTGCTGGGAAATGATGACGTGAATAAGGGTGACGTGGAACGTAATAACTGGTGATGGGATCAACTGTGTTACAAGTACAGTGATGTCTCTCTAATTGACGCTCAGATTGTCCACAAAAATGGACAATTTGGGAAGAGGAGATACGATTGTTCGAGCCTTGCGGTTCGCTTTTATAATTACGAATTGTCAAGGTTATATTGAATAACAAAATGATGAAGTGAATAAGGGTGACGTGGAACGTAATAACTGGTGATGGGATCAACTGTGTTACAAGTACAGTGATGTCTCTCTAATTGACGCTCAGATTGTCCACAAAAATGGACAATTTGGGAAGAGGAGATACGATTGTTCGAGCCTTGCGGTTCGCTTTTATAATTACGAATTGTCAAAGTTATATTGAATAACAAAATGATGACGTGAATAAGGGTGACGTGGGACGTAATAACTGGTGATGGGATCAACTGAATTACAAGTACAGTGATGTCTCTCTAATTGACGCTCAGATTGTCCACAAAAATGGACAATTTGGGAAGAGGAGATACGATTGTTCGAGCCTTGCGGTTCGCTTTTATAATTACGAATTGTCAACAACGATAAAAACGAGTTGCAAGGCTCGAATAATCGCATCTCCTCTTCCCAAATTGTCTTCCTACATTTTTGTGCACAATCTGAGCGTCAATTAGGGAGACATTACGTATTTAGGTACAAAAATCCGGCTGGATAGTTTCGAATGTTTCTTGTGTATGTACTTCGAAAAAGGAAAGCGATATAGGTGCCTAATATAGGACCCATTTTTTTTAAAAGCATAATTATTGATCAAAAACACTGTCATTAAAAGTAGATATTCGTTTAAGAACTAAACTTCTTTCGCCTTTCGTTCTCTCGTTCGCCTTTGTCAAAACGAATAAACATCGTAAACGCATTCCGTAGAATAGAATTATATATCGTAATATATAATATATTTTTTTTTACGATTTACAGACATCTGTGAACTATGAAGTGTTTTAGATGAATTATCATTATGAACATAATCGGTGGCTACATCAGTCAAAGCATCCCGTGCCCGAAGTATAGATTTTGCTTCAGAAAAAAGCTGAATCGTGGATTAAATAATGCAGTTAACATATAAAAATGATTCTTTTATGCACCATCTAGATAATGATTAATATCAAGTATTAAAGTACGTATTAAATTAAGTATTAAATATTAATAACAACAAATACGTATATTAATAACAAACTATACTCGAACCTACAATCATCGATAGAAGTGTATAAAAAAAAATATTTGCTTTATACGTGCTATATTGTTTTAGACAAATTTACAGTTCGTAGACCGCCAATTTTTTGTATAATTAAGATAAGTACGCTTAAGGGGGCTTGAACGATACTAAGAGCGTTCCACTCTAAGTTAATAATTCACAATTAGATTTTACCGATGCTAAAATTTAATATTATGGCCCGTTTCTGTTCTACTATCAAACATCCGATATGTAGAATTCCATCGCGTTTCTACCTCTATAATCAATTTATGATTAGGTACAATCGTTAAATTTTGCTTTCCTAGCAATTTATTCATCCGCACGGTACCGTACTTGAAATACATTTGTCACGAACACGGCATATATTATGTATACCGTCGATTGATCTTTTTACTATTAAATTTATGACGTATTGTTCAATGTTTATGAGCCTTACCGGATGCAGAAGTAACGGAATGCGTAAACAAGCATGCCTATACAGGGTGATCGAAGAGAAAACTTAATTCAAATATTTTACCGTTCAAACAATTCAGCCTTGTTCGGTTTTAGGCTACTTTAGCTTTGCTTTTTGTAACGTATTTATCATTGTTTATCGAATAGTGAGTTGCGCAGGTGATACGATTCATTGTATATTTTCAATATTAGTTTATTCGTAGATTATTATTGTCCAACGAAAAAACATTCTGCTTCAGATTCCATAAATTATTTGTTCGTACAGATTAATAGATTCACTGTTACATAGTTAGTTATGTCAATAAAGATGATGCGCCGCGCGAAATGGAATCGTTTATGTAATTGCTTGCAAGAGCTGAATTCGTATTTGGCATCTGTATGAAGAAACGTAAAATGTATCATTAATTTATCATTAATGAATACATTCGTTCTCTTTAATAAGCAATGCGTATTGTAATATGTTCATATTTTTCTGTAACGGACGAAGAGTTGTTCACCCCGTGTCGACGAGTACGAGTATAAATACGAGCATTGCATTATTTTACCACTTGAGAATTAATTTCACAAATAACATCTCTGTTAACGATATGATCGCATATTTATCAGGAATGCAGTTGTTTCGTTGCCACGCGATGTAAAACACCGATGCACAAACATTTAAATTCTCTCGAATAACGAACGCAAAATTAAAAAGAAAATATGCCGTAAGTCACAATACATATTTTACGAAAAGTTACTGCGATAAGGGCAGTAAGCTTTCCTTTGCGTACTTATGTAACAAAAATTGTTGCAACGAAGCTCGAGAAATTTTGTATAATCGAAAAATAAATCTGCGAAATCGGCTTTATGTCTCTAAACGCGCGTTGACGCATTTCGTAACGTAAAGATCTAGTTTTTGTTCCGTTTCGAGAGAACTCGACAGAAAAAAAATATACATTTCGAATATACTAATATCAGCGCCAATTTTAACCTCTAAAAAAAGGTGACCCCGCGGTTAATCTTGGTAATGCGACGACCATTACCATCTATTACTCGTGCACGGAAGCATAATAAACGGATGCTGTGAAATCTATCATACTAGGTTTCAATCAAGCCTAACTTGACAACTTAGAAATGATCCCAGAGGGAGTCGCCTGGTCGGGGAAGAGAAAAATGGCAGTCATGGGAAGTCGCGGCTTTGTTGCATCGTAGAGCAAATTATTATTTGGAATCCCTTTTGTATTCGGTACATTCTAGCGTACAGGTACCATGGAAACGAGACGACGAACAAAACCAAACTAAAATTATCTAACAAAGATTATTTACGTTAATGGTTTTTA